TATATATATTAAAGAAAGTTTAACGCGATAAATTTATTAACTTATTGTTCGATTAGATTTTTTATCTATTAGAATCTTATAGCCAAGATAATTATCTTAAGTGTTTTCTTTTCCAAAGTTTTTAACCCTATGCACTGCGAAATTATATTTCAATTTTGTTATCAGCAATTCTTAACGCTTTTACATACGTTTCAATTTGAAATTTATTATAAAATAAAGGTAAACATTTTTTTTTTTAAATAAATAATAAAGAAAAGAGAAACAAATTCAATATGAAACAATTCGTTTTATTTATACGATTGTTGCATTTTGTAATTTACGAGTGTACGATCATTTTTTGTGATTAAAACTGATGTCGAGTCACACTCGACATAGGGAGGAACAAGTGCAAAGGGTTAATAAAAGTATATTTGAAAATTTCGAAGGAGAATAATGGTTTCATCGAAAGAAAAAAAAGAAAAAGAGAGAAAGAAAGAAAGAAAGAAAGAAAGAAAGAAAAAAAAAAGAAACAAAACTATTACTTACATTAGATATCAATAGTATTGCATGGGGTAGATCAGTGAACTTATACATAACATATTACATAAATACATACAGTGGATTCACGAAAGTATTTGAACCATTTCCAATGATATATTTTATTAATTATAATAAGTATATTATACAACACACTTACTGATATATTATTAATATTTGATGAGAGAGAGAAGATATGACACTCTAGATTATACAGATATAGTTTCAAGCAAATCGAAATATATAATACAATAGTTATGATTTATATCTTACAAACGTAACAATTGTAGAAGCCACAAAAGATAATTTTTAAGCATTTAATATTTAATAGGACCACCTTTAGCACGAATAACATCTTGTAAACGATTATACATACTCTTTACTAAATTTTCTGTAATACTTCTTAGTGATATGGAACCCCATACTTCGAGTATTTTGTCTTTTAAACTTGTTTTTGATGTTATATTAAATTTATTTAATTCTTTTCCTATTATTGGCCATAGATGTTTGATCAGATTAATATCAGGGTTTTGTGATGGTGTGATTAACATGTGAGAAGTATTGTATATAATTCATTCCTTAACAATTCTTGCAGTATGTTTAGGATCATTATCCTGTTGGAAGTTGGCTCAATTATGATCTGAGGATGTATGGCTGCAAGTAGCACCAGAAATTTAATCTTCATAGAAAAAAAAATGGATAAATACAGATATTTCAACATTTGAAAACAAAATTTAAAGGAAAGGTCAAGAAAATTGAATATTTATGAAGATTGTTACTTCAAACAGGATAATGATCCTAAACATACTGCAAGAATTGTTAAGGAATGGATTATATATAATACTCCTCACATGTTAGTCATACCATCACAACATCCTGATAATAATAAGAAAAAGAATAACATAAATTTAATATAAAATCAAAAACAAGTTTAAAAGACAAAATACTCGAAGTATGGGGTTACATATCACTAAGAAGTATTACGGAAAATTTAATAAAGAATATGCATAATCGTTTACAAGATATTATTCATGCTAAATAAAGGTGGTCCTACTAAATATTAAATGTTTAAAAATTATCTGTCCAAATAATACTTTTGTTGCTTCAGTAATCGTTACGTTTGTAAGAAATAAATCATAATTATTGTATATACATATATCGATTTGCTTAAACTACACCTGTATAATCTACAAAGTCATACCTTCATCCAATATTAATAATATATGTGTTCTATAATATACTTATTATAATTAATAAAATAAATTATTGCAAATGTGTTCAAATACTTTCTTGAGTCATTGTATATCAGAGAAGAATCGTAGAATGCAATAAATTTACAAATGATTTTGATCGATGTGCAAAAGAAAAAAAAAGAGACAAAAAAGGCCAGACAGACACGCATATTATACATACATATATATATATATATATAGAAAAATTCTAATCGGTTAATAATTAATTAGATCTTCAAACAACAAGAACAACAACAAAAATAAAATATAATTACAGTCACTTGATTAATTCCTTTGTTAATTAAATTGCATAATTGAATTTATACGCGGATATTAAAAAAAGAAAAACAGAACAAGAAAATAAAAACACCGTTGGAATTGAGCGACAAGGGGTTGAGGGGGGGGAGATATATTATATCGAAATAAAAAAAGAAAAAAGAAAGAGTGTATGCGAGAGAGAGAGAGAGAGAGAGAGGGGGGGAGAGAAAGAGAGGGAAAATTAGAAAAGAAAAGAGAAAAAAATTAGTATCAAATAAACAAACAAAAAATTCGATGTGTTTACGTTTACTGACATACATATTAATGTACCGTTGATATTGTTATCTTGCCAGGAGTGATCTATCTGCGTTTTTGCGACAATCGCATTATTTTCACATCAAGATAATAAATCTAATGAATATCGTATAAATAAAAAAGAAAAAGATTAAAAAAAAAAAAACAAAATAAAAATAAAACAAAACAAAACAAAACAAAATGATCGCGCAGGTGAATATATATA